AGATTTTGGCTCATTTTTTAAAATGGCTGTAACTTGAAAAATTGAAGTTGGAATCAGCTTAAACTTTCTACACAGCATAAGTACATCAATATGTATCAGAAAATGTAATAAAAATTTGGGGTGATTTTGGAGCCATTTTTTGGAAAAAACCATGGGCTATTATAGCCTTGGGTATTTTTCAGATTTTGGCTCATATTTTAAAATGGCCGTAACTTGAAAAATTGAAGTCAGAATCAGCTCAAACTTTCTACACAGCATAAGTACATCAATATGTATCAGAAAATGTAATAAAAATCGGGGGTGATTTCGGAGCCATTTTTCGGAAAAAACCATGGGCTATAGCCTTGGGTATCTTTCAGATTTTGGCTCATTTTTTTAAATGGCCGTAACTCAGAAAATTGAAGTCAGAATCAGCTCAAACTTTCTACACAGCATAAGTACATCAATATGTATCAGAAAATGTAAGAAAAATCGGGGGTAATTTCGGAGCCATTTTTCGGAAAAAACCATGGGCTATAGCATTGGGTATTTTTCAAAATTTAAAGATTTTCTTAAAATGGTTGTAACTTAAAAAATTGAAGTCGAAATCAGCTCAAAGTTTCTACACAGCATAAGTACATCAATATGTATCAGAAAATGTAATAAAAATTGGGGGTGATTTTGGAGCCATTTTTCAGAAAAAACCATGGGCTAAAGTACAGGGATTTCATCCTCTGGATCAAAGTTTTTTAAATCTTAAAATTACCTGACAACCATTGTACCGATGACCGCAGGTACGTCCCTAAACTCCAAGTCCATCCATTACTAACAGTGTCCCTCAGTTTAACTGACGAATGGTATCTCAATTCGCAATATAACATACAAAACTCATCAAAATCAATCCCATCTCTCTCCCACCTGGAGAAAGGTAGGGAAGGAAGGAGAGAGGGAAGACTAGCGAATGGTGACAATACTTTAAGAGAATGAAGGGCCAAACATGCCTAGAGATGAAAATATACTGAAAATATACTAAAATTAAAACAGTATTAATTCTAAAAATGCACTAATAATACTAATAATACACTAATAATATACTAATAATACACTAATAATATACTAATAATATATTACCTCATTAATTGTTAGTGTCTTGTCTTTATAATTATCATACATTGAAAATATGTAATTTAGTTTGCTAAAGAGAAGCACAATAATTATAAGAAAGAAGTATATCTTTCACACCTTATAATATTTTCGTTATAAATTTTATTTGTGATTCTATTTCTCTCAAGTTTTCTCATCAAATCTTCCTCAGTAAATAATTCCCGTACAACCTGAACCAAATTTAATAACTTTAACATTAATAATAGTTAATTAACACTACCTTGACGACAGTCTCTGTCCCTCTTTTCACATTCGGTTCAATTAAAATATTATGAGAATATATCAAGTCTTTAATGATCAATCGAC